TTTCATTCATTCATTAAAAAAAATACAAAAATGTTGTACACAAATGAGATCATCGTTTACTCTCAATTGATTTGTGCGCGTTTTATGTTTCCTTTAATGCCGGCTATTAAAACGCGTAGGTGAAATATCACTACTTAGAAAAGAGGATGAATTCTAGCATTCTTCGAATACTATTACCACTATCTCTACTATATGGGTCAGAAACTTACAGTGTGACAAAAATAACTTCCAACAGGTATTGACTTTATCGACAGCTACATTCACTGGCTAAATATTTGAATATCGAATCGCCGGAAAGAATTCGCAACAGGTAACTGTGGGTACGAAATAACCAAGAATCCAAAGTTCAACAGATATGTAGAAGAGAGTGGAAATGGATTAGGTACATATTGAGAACATCGGAAAACACTGCGCATCAGGCTGGGCCTCGAGCAGAACCAAAATTGAACCGAAGATTCAGACATTTGTTTAGGGTTAACATGAAAAAGATCGTGTTCGGAGGGCCTCAAAGACTTCATACGTTACTGGATACAGCTTGAAAAGACCTCAGAGAATAAGACAAAGTCAAGATATGCTGTGGAAGCCCTTTGTTCCACAAGGGGTCAAAAATAGCAGTAATAATATAATATATCATCACTCAGCATCACCAACAAAATTCGGATTTTCAATACAAACGTAAAGTCAGTCAGTTCTTCTATACGGATCAGAAACTTGGCGGGCCACAAAGAATATTTACAAAAGCTTGCAGACCTTTATTAACAACTGTCTCCGCTCTATACTGAAGATCAGATGGCTGGGCCGGAAAGAATCACCAACAAGGAATTATGGGAACAAACAAAGCAAGAACCAATCGCACAACTAATATGCAGGAGAAAGTGGAGATGGATTAGACACTCGCTGAGGAGACCGCTGGGTGACATCGCACGTCAAGCCCTCGAGTGGAACCCGAAAGGGAAGCGGCGAGTGGGACGTCAGTGCAAGGGTGACATGGAGGAGATCGTGTGAAGAGGAGTTGAAAGAGTATGGACTATCATGGATGCAGGTGAAAAGTACAGCAGCAGAAGGCAGAAGCAAATGGAGATGTGAAGTTGAAGCCCTATGTTCCACTAGGAACACAAGGGAGCAATAATGATATTAATAGATGGTATTCAAAAGCAGATATCAAATAAATTAACGTAGTGAAATCAATAAAGACAAATATATCAGGAGAATAATGAGTTCAACCTTTATCATTTTGAAGATTTTTCTCAATTCAATACAACCTGGATAATACAAAACAGGATTTGAATACACCTCTTCCCCGGTGACGAGAAGTCGTTCACTTCAACTAAGAGTTATATGAGTAGAGAATGACAAATTTCGAAAGAGAAAGAAAGACCAGATTTGCTGTATAAAATGATATCATTCTACTTCACAGGTTCTCATCAGCGACAAGCCACCTAAAATTACAGCGGTTATGAATGACATTTCATACAAAGCCACTGCAATTAAAGTTCTCAGACCAAACTTATGCACACAGAAAGAGAGTGTAGTCAATCTCTCAGCTCACTAAGCAAGTTTCAATTTGATGTACTTTAACCGTCTTCAGTTGCTATGTTAACCTACAAGCTAACACTGTTTATTAGATCTTTCTGATTTCTGTCTTCTCTCACCTCCCTTTCCTTCACAGCTTGATGGAATATGAATTGATGGTAATCTAAAATTAAAATTGCATTATTTATATTCCAGATATGTTCATCTTATAATGTTTTCTTTATTACTTTTCAAGCGTTGAAGGGTGAAATGTTATTATTTATAACCATTGTAATTTCAGGTAGTTTGCAGCTGATGAGAACCTGTAAAATAGAATGATATCCCTTTAAACAGCAAGTCTGGCCTTTCTTTCTCGATTGAAACTTATCAAGAATGATGAATATTAATAAATAATTGAGAATCAGTAAGTTTGAGTAATAGTAGGGTAATAAGGCCAATTCACTTAATAATAATAATAATGATTTACTTTATTCCAAAAACAGTACTTGTGATACAGAATGGAATTTTCAGCATTAATCACAATATTCCATCTAATTTCCTCAAATTATAAATAAAAATTAATCACACAGAAAATGTTCCACATCTACAATAGAGGTAATGTCGAAAACATGCAACATATAAAATGGAAATAGCAATAATAATGATAACGGCTAAGGTAAAAACAATAATAAAAGTGAAAATCGCCGTGGGCTCGTTACACACAGTATCGTTATATGCGGTATAGAAATCCTAGCATGTTTAAAAATATTGAATATAATGTTCTCTTTACATGATATCGTGAAGGGAAAAACAAAGATTACAGCCTTCATAGAGATAAGTTGGTGTTTGCAATTATGCGAGAGAGTAAAACAAAGAAGTAACAGGACCATAAATATAATAGAAATAATAAAAGTAAAACTTCAAGGTATATAAGGATGGATGGAGGAAATTTTATTTTTATTTTTGATTTACAGCTTGATTCCACACCGTATTTTTGGTACAAGTGTGGAATTTTCAGCGTGGATATCGGTAGCCTGAATTTCGCAGGCCGACCATAGATATCGGGTGTGCGTCGGCGTGGGCTCGAACCCCAGACCATATGCATGTCGGCGAGAGTCCTAACCACTGTGCCACCGACGCACAGTGGTGAAAAAGTGTCAGTTAACTTGACAATATAGCTCACGATATTTAGGTAGAAACACAGTTTAATTAGAAAGTATGTAACAATATAGGAGGCCGCATGAAAAAACAAAATTTTCTAAACTGAACAGAAGATGACTTAATAAAATTGTATACCTCATTATCACTAAGGTGGTACACTGTGTCTTTCTGTGTACACATATTCAGTTTGAATTGTTTGACGGTAGTGGTCTCAGCAAAACGTAACAACACAGGTTTCTTTAACCTTCTGATTCTGTTTGCACCTTTTCAGAATATCGACAGTATGATCAGTGTCCGACAAGTGGCGGACAATTGCACTGTTTAATGAATGTGAGGCTTTTTGTCTCCGGTCATTTGATATGTGTTGAAAAATGCGGGTAATAACTTTTCTTTCTGTTCTTCCAATGTATGTGCTTTGGCACATATATGCGGGTTGGGAGACACGTTTGAAGGTAACATAGGCTGGAAGTTTATCCGCTTTGATTGTCTTAAACAACTGCTCGTATGATAAATACAAACAAGCTAATCAGTTGAATGTGTTGTTTTCGCGGCAGCGTTTCAGTTTGCATCTTGTTCTACTAACAATATCTTCATTTTTTTGAAGACAAACTGTGGAAAGACTGGTTTTTTCTCTACTGTGCGATGATTTACATTTTCAGCGCTAAGTTTTCCATGTTTGTCGATGAACTTCTGTGAATATTTGTTATCCTGCAGGCATTTTTCTGTAATGGATAACTATTTGTCAACTTTCACTTCTGAGTAAGGCTTTCTTACACAATCAAACTGAGTACACTGTTTTAGTATGTCACCCTGTGTCTTGCTTAGAAAAGTTAGTTGTTTCGTTTGAATATGAATCAACCTGGCCTCTTGCTCAGCTATTTTATGAAGGTACATTTTATGCAATTGTATAACCAGTCATTCTGTTAAACATCGTTTCTTCTTGTATATCGTGGGCTCTTTTTTCAAGTGTTTCAGTCTTATTACTCGCTTATAACTCAATGTTTTTAACTCCTGGCTATTAGATAACTTTCATCATTTCTGATGTATGTTACTTTTAGTCCAAATCAATGACTTCACGTCATCGGGTAGAAGGTATGTACAGGCCTCCTTTTTGTAATTTATACTTTCCTATTGTCCAGGTTGCAGTCAGATGAGTCGATTCTTCGAAATGATAAAAGTTGAAGTCATTATTCTCCTGGTACACTTATCATTCTTGATTTGTTCAAGTTTACTGATTGCAGGAATTGTCTCACGGTTTCAAGTGGATTAATTTGTACACGAGTAAAGACATACTGTACACGACCAAGTTAAAATATAGCTATCGAGGGGAAGGCAGGCAACAATGACCTTGAACACACGCCAGTCGGTGGATTGCCGGAACTATCATTATTGTAGCGCCACTGTGAGGTTTGTTCACGAAATGAGGTGCAAACTTAATCTGGATCCTGTTTTTTAAGTATTGTTTAGATAACATGTTGATGCCATGTAGCCGTAAATGTTCATGAGGTGCTTCTATGTATATCCAGCGATGTTCAGATACAAGGCATGGATATATACTGAGGTCTACAAAGTGTAGAAAATGAATTAGTGTTTGTAACGGTAAGACTGAGGTGAGATAAATGGATGTTCAGACGGCAAACTCGTTAGTATCTACTGAGTGATTTTACCACCATTGCAGAGATACAACATCCTGGAAAATGAATGCTGTGAATCGTACTGCCGACACTCTTCCGCCTTTTAAATAAAGGTTAGTTATTTATGACACTACTGTTCATACAGACGAATGGCTGGGACACAACCGTCTATTTTATTTGAGCTTGGCCAATAATCGAGTGAATTGATCTCATTTATTTTGTTGACCTCCTTACTGAAACCCATCATGATTCAATTGAAGACTTCTGAGAATAACTGAAAAAGAGTATATGAGCGGTAACTGGGTCACGAAAAGAACTCAACTTCAGTCACCTTGATGATAACATGTATAGAAACTGACTTAATTCAAAAGCTGGTACTCCTCATTACAGTTGTGAGGTATTTTTAAGTCCTGTCAAAGAAGAATATCCTGTTTAGGGTGTCTCACCATTTTTCTCTCTGTTTCTCCTGTAAATAAACATCATTTTGATGTTAAATAAACGCCACTCTTTCTGATTGGTTGTCTCAAGGTCACCCGTGCGTTCGCATTCTATCGATCGATACAGTTGAACGTTGCATTGTTCACAACTGCCATACACTTCAGTTTAGCTGTATACTACAACATTTGAATTAGAAATGCAACTTTAATCAAATATTCCATTTGAAATTATTCGACACACAGAAAAGAAACTTACGTATTTATTGTTATCGATTGGAGGGAGCTTGATAATACTTTCACTTATAATGTAGTCCGGAACGATAACAAATGAGGTTAATGGTAAAGATAAAGCCGCAGTTATCGTACTTGCTGTCAACTGACCATTGATAGATACTGTTTGATTACCAGGTGTTAGGCTGTTGTCGAAATTGTTGCGTGGACGAAGAAAAAGGTCGAACAGAATCTGTGAAACAAATACATAATGTCAGAAAAGCGATATGCACGATAGCTAAAGAATATTTTGAATTACGTCGTGTACTGGCTGAAATGTTTCCACGTGGTAAACTCCACTGAATAAACTGCATAGATAGTGACTTACAAGTACCTTAGACCTCTTCTACATGCAGTTTATGTTTACTACGTCACCATCTATGCAGTTTATTCGGTGGAGTTTAAAAGTTAATTATTTTATTCACCTAATTATTTCGCATTTATCACTATGTAATTCATACATACTAAATAAATCCACAGTGAAAGGTATTAAGCGGTTGGCAAAGAATTGAACGGTTTTAAGTTTCATCATGGAGGATATAAGTTAGAAAAACATTGAAAATAGGGGAACAGTAGACAGCTGTTAAGTCTTAGTTTGGAGGTTATTAATTAATGACTGCGTACAGATGAACCCACCGGCTATCCAACCTTGGACATTCCTTTGAATCAGTGGTTGAATTTGTAGGTTTCAATGCCACCCGAATTCCTGCTTTATTGGGAATCCTACGTAGGGCATCAGATGCCTCCACCTTATACGGTTATATGATAAAGAGCAATAATTTGTGATTGACACGTCATCAGTACATATTACTACACTACTACACCATGTGATTTATCAAAATAAAATCTTATCCATAATCGAATAATTAACTCTTAATATATATTGTACTATCATTGAAAGCTCAGTTAATACTATGACTCATATAACCTTAAAATAACCAACGTATTTCACAATATTGGATTTCAGGTAAACATAGAGAAAACATAGGTGATGGGGATTCCTGGGCAACAACACCAACAACAACAACAGACAACAATCAGCATAATTGGGATGAGTCTGAAAGAAGCAACCTCCTTTACCTGCATATCGGCCTGGGAAGCATCGTTTCAACTCCAGGCGAACGGAACTGATGAGGATATCAAAGCGAGGATCGGGAAGCAAGGCAAGCTACCCTTACTCTCAAGTCTTTGTGGAGATCAACAGCACTCAGCATGAAAATGAAAATAAGATCCGGATTTTCAACCCCAATTTGAAGCCAATCTACTTGCTATACGGATCAGAAGCGTGGCGCGTCATGAAGGAACTTCGAACAAACTACAGAACTTCATCAATAACAGCTGTCTTCGCTCAATACTACTTAAGATCAGATGGCCAGAGGAGATCATCAAGAGAGATCTCTGGTAGTGAGTGAACCAACCCTACAGGAACTGATTGTGAAACAAATAGACAAGAAGATATGTAGGTGGATCAGCCATACTCTGGGGAAACTATCAAGTGACATCACTAGACAAGCGCTTGAGTGGAACCCGAAAGGGAATCGGCGAGTTTGTTGTCCAAGGGTGACTTGGAGGAGGTCATGTGAAGAGGAGATGAATGCATGTAGGTAGACTTGGAGCCAGGTGAAAACTTTAGCAGAGAATCGAATGCAGAGGAGACGTGCAGCTGAAGCCATATGTTCCTTAGGAATGGAAGGAAATAATAATAATTTCACAATAGTTGAAACGCTCAACCAACGATGAGAAGACATCTACCAATATGTATCAAATAAACACATCAGCATTCAAAATCCATCCAAGTTCTCCTAACTATGCTGCCGGTATTCTTTGAAATTTTATATATGTCCATCAACATAAGCTAGACTGACTTTTAATTAGTTTTACTTTAGTATACGTGTGTAATTATGTTAACAGTGTAGTGGACAAAACTTTACAATTGGTATACTTTTCTCCATAACTATTAGTTTTAACTGAATGATAAATTCAAACTATGCGGGAGTTCACGCCCTCATCTGGCTGTGGCTTTTTGCGTCAGTGGCACAGAAGTGGAATCCACACCAATCACGCATGTGGTCTGGGATTTGATCCCTTGGCCAACGCATTCATTTCCGTCGATGGCACATCGGTTAGGATGATCGCCGATCATGCACATGGTCCGGGGTTCTATCCCCGACCGATGCACTCCTTTACCTCGTTAAAAGCCATAAATAAGGCTTGTAAAGCGGGAAGGTTGGGCATGGAGCTAGCAACCCCATCCTGTAAAATTAGACACTGCTACTGAAACTTCAAGCCACTAGCTTGATGCCCTATGTTCCACTGAGAACGTGCAGGAAAAAAATGCGAATTGCGTGAATACTATCCACAGTAATTAAGTCCGAAAATGACATACGCATGCGTGTGAATACATGCCAGCTTCCAAATAAGGATGAATAACTCCTACCTAATAAAAATGCAACACTTGCTTTTATTAAATAATCCGTTCAAAAAAAGTTCCATTTTTTATATGGGATAGTAATCTGTAATTATTACCTGATTATCAAACGTTTCAGGAACACATATTGTTCCCATAGCAACGGTTGCCGTGTTTTTTGTCACTGCACCGCTTCTAATAAAAAGGAAATAAAGGGAAATATAAATTTGTGAATATCAAAAAAAAATAAAATCCTCTTAAAATAGCTGGTGAAGTGCAAATATTTAACTGTCAAAACAAAGATAAATTCGGTGAAACTAGAAGAAAAAACGGATAAAAGTAACAAAAAAACTTAAAGGTCCCCAAAATGATGAAATAGGCGTTCAGGAATGTTATCTTTCCTTTGGGTTCGGAATGGAACATAAGGCTTCAACAATACAGCTCAGTTCATCCAGTTTTCTGTCATCCTCTCTAGCTGACCTCACTATTTCATATAAGCTTTCATCTCCTCTTAATACGATCTCCTCCATGTAACCCTTGAAGTGGCAATGTCAACCAACGGTCTTCCCAAGCGTGTGTCTGATCCATCTCCGTTTGCTTCCGCATATCTGTTGAGCATTAGACTCTTTATTATTTCCTTCTAAGAGTTTCTTGTTATTATTCCTTTCTGAACTGGTCATTTGATCTTCAGTATGAAGCCAGTGAAGGCAGCTAAGTGATAAAAGTCAGCAAATGGTTTGTGATGCTTTTCGTGACGTGCAGTGCAGGTTTCTGAACCATAGAGAAGAAATGACTGGGTTAACAGTAGTGTTCGGAATCAGAACTTTGTTGTTCATACTGGGTGCAGCAGATTTCCAAACAGAATTAAAGGTGATGAAGACCTGTATTGCCTTTTCTTTCCTGGATGGTTGTAACATCCTCAATCGTGTTGTCACACGTGGTTGAAACAATGCTACGTGAGCTGACATTGGTTAGAAAACGAAATCCTGAAACCAATCAAATCCCTACAAACCAACACTTGAATACCAACGAGATGCTCACTGGCGACCGGCCCTATTCAGGTAGGTAGTTATATGGGTTCCAGTGGGAAGAAGTCACCAGTAGGATGCAGCGGGTCGGGTATGAGGACAAATACTCGCCAGTGACATTGGCTAGAGGTCGCGCTATGTCGTGAATTGGCAGAAGTTAGAATTCAAGGACTATTGGAACGGGTCGCAGTGGCTTAGTGGTATACGAGTTCGCCTTGTAACCGGAAGGTCCTGGGTTCGAATCCCGGTGGGTGCGTACTGCTGAAGAGCCCCAAACTGGGACGAAACAGCTGTCCGGTACTCCCAGCTGGTTTTTCAATTGTTCTTTAACTAATGTCAGCTCATGATGAAATCCTGATATATTTACATTAGAGTAGTCACATACGGGAGTCTATCCTTCATACTGCTTAGATATGGTGGGTGAATAGAGAATATCAATGTTAGTTTTGTTGCCGGAAAGGTTTTTCTTTAGGGAACTAGAGATTCTTTAACCTCGGATACCTATCACTAAGTTTCTGCGTCAGTCCATATTCACACGCATCTTTGGCAGTGAATAACAAGAATACTTATTTATTGTCGAACGATGAAACCAAGCTAACTATATATACATATATACTACCAGAGAAAAATTCGAGATTTTTCTTTCAAAACATGAAATCATTATATTTGCATTATACATTCAACCTACTCACATGGTTATTACAGGGTTGACAGCACCGCTGAACCATATAAAGTCACTGTAGTCCATAAGAGTAGCACCAATTATATCAACAGGCCAAATATTAGACAGTAGTGTAAATCTCATTGAAAATGTAGCACACATTGTATTCGGTAGACTGATCCTGTAGTGATACCGAACCATCTGTCCTGGAACTACTGGATCGGTTCGTTCATTTGGTTTGTCATAGTAGCTGGGAGCATCTATCTGATAGGCGATTGTTGAGCTTGGTACGCGTGCCTAACATCAAAAAAGTCAAATTTTTATTTAGAACCTTCACAAAGGAATATTCCTCAATGAATCTGAATAAAGTAATAACAACACAATGTAGGGGATAAATCGGATCCATTTCGTTTCGTCATTGGTTTCCTGTCGACAGCTAACAGTCTGAATAATGGATGATAAAATTTAACTGAAGGGCTTAATTCAAATTTCATTTGTTTATTAGCGGTCTTCAAAATTTTTCTTAAAATCGATGCAATTTGGTGTCTTAATTCTACCCTTGCTCTACCAGGTCGGGCTTGAGGACAAATACTCGCCGATGATATCGGCAAGTGGTCGCCCTAAATTCAACAGTTGGTCAAAGTTAGAACCCATAGTCTATCCGTTAAATCTGGTCCTCGTAACTTTATGGTATTCAGCCTTTTCTTCTGACCGAAAGAGCCTGAATTCGAATCCCAGGGAATGCGTACCGTTGAATAATCCTGAATTAGAATAAGAGAGCTGTTCATTAACTTCTGGTTTTTTCAATAACTTTAGCCGGTATCAAACTGCGATCACACTTTGAAGGAAAATATGTTAAAACTATTAGCAAAAGAACTGATACCTCACTTCCAAGTGTAAGCACTCGGCAAGACACTAAGGAATTTTCTGCCGAACAGTACTTGAACATGAAAATAATGCTCACTGATAACTGACTATGGAATGAAGTTGCCTTAAGTTCCAGTTAGAATTCGTGCTAATTATGAGAACAAATACTAACAAATGACATTAGAAGGCGATGACGTTGTTTGTCTCAGAACGACCAGTCACATTAGCTAGATAATCGACATGCTCTCCTCGTATCCTAAAGATCATGTATCCCAAAGGGATCTTGAATACGCGCATCTGAGGAGTCCCCGATTGGGAGGAAACAACTAATCAATACTTCTTGTTTTTCAGTGGTTTTTTGACTGATATATACACATATATATCCGCTTTATGTATTACTGGTTTCTACACAGTTTCGTCTAGAATAAAATATAACTATTGAATTATCCATATAATAAACCCTAAGTACAGTTTTACTCAAAGTATTACATCGGATGTAACAGCCTGAAGAACGATCAAAAGGGCTTTAAAATGGATAAGAATTGATAGTAGTCGAGCATGATCAGACGTTCATTGAGAAATCCACCATCTTCCATGCTGTGGCTTATTCGCTTGCTAAAATCGGATAGAATTACTTCCTCAGAAATTTAATCTTAGCTATCAGGCATCATCAGAACAAGAAGACGAAGTTGAAGTGCTTTTGACGAAATCACAATGACCTTGGACAATCAATCAGAATGTATGAAGGAGCATTGAAGACGTGATATTACTTCGGATAATTTTCTCTTATGTGTTCTGAGAATGTCTGTCAGTTATTCCATGAATCCTACTATATGTAATAGGTATATTCATATAGGTAACTGCATATAGTGGTACTTTGCGATCGATTGATATTCCTGACACTCTTGTTTGAACAACTGCTAAACCTCATTCTTAACAGAGAAAGTACTCAGGAAATAAGAGTAGGATACTGTACGTACCCTTACGAACAGGTTTTGTCTTATGGAATGAATTATATCTATAAAATATCTATCCCAGGCAAAATTGTATTGCCTCAATGTCAAATTCTATCTCTATAAACACACATGACTCCAGTTATTCAGTCACTGACATGATAGTCAAATACTTAGTCTTCATAGAATTCATGCTTACAGGTAGGCATGATTTGATTTGGAATGGCCAATTTTAGCGTTGTCTAGATCTGACTGACCCTTCAAGGTGAACTTTTAACCAGCCTTGACTATGGCTTTGCAGTTTTAACTTCACCCACAAGAAAACCTCACATAATGCAACTTTGATCTTCTCAGTATTATTACAGAAGAGCTATGATATTGTTAATAAGAATTTACGAAGATTGTCACAAAAACAATGAAATCTTTATCACTGTTGATATGTTTGGATCTCCTTAGAATCACAGTTTTCCATTTTCCATTTCATATATATATACATATTATTATATTTTTATTGCTCCCTTGGGTTCCTAGTGGAACATAGGGCTTCAACTTCACATCTCCATTTGCTTCTGCCTTCTGCTGCTGTACTTTTCACCTGCATCCATATTAGTCCATACTCTTTCAACTCCTCTTCACACGATCTCCTCCATGTCACCCTTGCACTAACGTCCCACACGCCGCTTCCCTTTCGGGTTCCACTCGAGGGCTTGACGTGCGATGTCACCCAGCGGTCTCCTCAGAGAGTGTCTAATCCATCTCCACTTTCTCCTGCATATTAGTTGTGCGATTGGTTCCTGCTTTGTTTGTTCCCATAATTCCTTGTTGGTGATTCTTTCCGGCCCGGCCATCTGATCATCAGTATAGAGCGGAGACAGTTGTTGATAAATGTCTCCAAGCTTTTGGAAATATTCTTTGTGACCCGCCAAGTTTCTGATCCGTATAGAAGAACTGACTGACTTGACGTTGTTTGTATTGAAAATCCGAATTTTGTTGGTGATGCTGAGTGACGAAGATTTTCAGATTGATTTCAGGTTGATGAATGTGTTCCTCGCCTTCCCGATTCTCGATTTGACATCCTCGTCCGTTCTTTGTGTAGTTGAGACAATGCTCAATGCTAGATAAGTGAATGAAGTAACCTCTTTCAAATCCCTCCCGTTGATGGTGATTGACGCTGGATGATTCTGCTGCTGTTGTTGGTTGTTTCTTTTCATAATCCCCGTCTTGTCTATGTTCACATGGAGCCGTGTCTTCGCTAGCTGCTTCTTCGACCAGTTCGTCGGTTTTCGCTCGATTTTGTGTGACATCAAACATAAATCATCCACGCGCAAAATTCAGGTCTTCTAGGTTCTTCACATCGGTCGGTCCAGGATATACATGTCTTCTCATTTCCCACTGTCTGACGCATAATCCAGTCAGTCCACCACAATTAGGAATACCATTGGTGATAGTAAGCACCCTTGTCTGACTCCTGTGTCTACTCCAAACGCCTTGCTGAGTTTTCCGTTGTGGATCACTTGACATGTGCTGTTGCCGTACAGCTGTTGAATAAGGTTGAGGAATATTTCGGGTACGCTGTAGTACTCGAATAGTTTCCAAATTACTTCACGATCAACGCTGTCAAAGGCTTTCTCAAAGTCTATAAAGTTGAGGTAGAGGTTTGATTGCCACTCCATGCTTTGTTCTGTGATGATGATGCATAGAGTTGCAATTTGGTCATTACATGATTTGCCTTTCCTGAATCCAGCTTGTTCTGGTGAGGTGGAGTTCTGTATCCAGTGCGTCCTTTAATCTCTCCAGGATGATGCGGCTCAGGATTTTACTTGGCATCGATAGGAGCATGATTCCTCGACAGTTCTTAAAGAGTGAGGCGTAAGTTGCCCTTCTTTGATAGTTTCACGAGGTAACCTTTCCTCCAGTCAGTAGGCACCTTTCCCTCCCTCCAAACCTTTTGCAATTATGGAGTAAGCATGTCTGCTCTAGTCTCTGGGTCCGCTTTCAGTGCTTCAGGGGGTATTCCATCTGGTCCAGCTGCTTTTCCAGCTTTCAGAAGCTTGATTGCATTCAAGACTTCAGCTCTCATTGGAGGATTGGTGTCAACTTGCAGTTGTGTGCGCTCTGTTGTCGGTATTTCTGGACGTGTTGCAGGTGGTGGTCGGTTCAATTGTCCTTTGAAGTGATCTGCTCATTGTTCAATCTGGTTTTCTTCCTTGGTAATTGGGTTCCCTTGGCTGTCTTTTATAGGTTTCACTTGTGTTGATCTCTTCTCGGATAGAGACTTGGTTATCTGATATAGTGTCCTCAGGTCCCTTTTGCCTGCTGCCTTCTCAGCTTCAGTGGCGAGGTTGTCGTAGAATCGTCTTTTGTCCTTCCTAGCACTCCTCTTCACTTCTTCTTCCAGTGCTGTGTAAGTTGAGCTCAGCGTCTCCTTCTCCTGTCCGTCCTTGCATTGAATCATTTTCTCTTTCACCATTCTCCTCTCTTCTATTGGCTTCGAAGTGTCCGTTGAGAGCCATTCCTTGTCTTGCCTTTTCTTTCTTCCTAAAACCGTTGAACACGTTTCGTTGAGAATCGCCTTCAGAGACTTCCAATGTTCTTCCACGCATGATTCTTCAGTGATGTCGCGTGGTGATTCCTGCTCTGCTCTGACAGTTGCAGTGGAAGTGTCTTTTGTGGTTTTGTCCTTCAGTTTCTTAGTGTTGAACTTACATTGTGGCCTATCCCCAGGTATCCTCGAGGCTTTTAGTTTCACCTTGAAAGTCCCTTTTACAAGATAGCGATCTGAACCCACACCTGCTCCTCTCCTCGACCTTGTGTCCAGAAGGCTCCGTCTCCACTTTCTTGAAATTAAGATGAAGTCTATTTGGTTTTCGGTGTTTACATCTGGTGAAATCCATGTCATCTTGTGTATATCCTTGTGTTTGAAAACGCTGCCACTAATCACGAAATCATTGAAGGCGCAGAAGTCTGAGAAGAGTTCACCATTGTCGTTCATTTCACCGAGGGCCTATCGACCCATGGTGAGTTCTCTTCCTGTGTTGTCTCCTCCCAGCTTCTCATTTATGTCGCCTATCAGTCAGTGATCTACTCCGGTCACCCAGAAGATAGCCACACGCACACCGAGGGCGTGGCTATCATGATGTCACCAACGGCAACGAAAGCCCTGATACAATGGGAGGCGATTTCGTCCAGGATAATGACCGCCAGATTCAACTCCAAAGGAAGGAAAGTGTCAATCATACAATGTTATGCACCCACAAACAACGCAGACCTCGAAAAGAAAGAAGAATTCTACAGGCAACTACAGGCAACAATGGACAATACTCCAGCTGGCGACATGAAAATACTAATGGGAGACATGAACGCCAAACTGGGACCAGACAACACAGGAAGGGAACTCATCATGGGTAGAGAAGCTCTAGGAGAAATGAATGAAAATGGAGAACTCTTCGCCGACTTCTGCGCCTTCAACGAACTAGTGATTGTTGGCAGTGTATACAAACACAAAGACATCCACAAGGCTACATGGGTGTCACCAGAAGGGCAAACCAAAAACCAAATTGACTTCATCTCAATCTCAAGGAAGTGGAGGCGCAGCCTACTGGACACAAAGGTAAGAAGAGGAGCAGACGTTGGCTCAGACCACTATCTCGTACAAAGGACAATCCAAATCAAATTAAAAGCTTTCAGCGAAACAGGAGCTGCAGATAGACCACAAGCCAAGTTCAACACTCAAAAGCTGAAGGAACAAGCTACAAAGGACATCTTCATTGCAAACATAAAGGACAAAACCGAGACACAAATCAACACCAGCGAAGAGGTCGGCGTCGAAAAGCACTGGAACAACTTGAAAACGGTGTGGAGTCAAACCTGCATGGAAGTTTTTGGCAGAAAGAAGAGGCAGGACAAACAGTGGCTCACTGCGGACACTTGGAAACTAATAGAAGAGAGAAGGACAGTGAAACAAAAGATTATCCAGTGCGCTGACGAGCAACAAAAACAGGAGCTGAATGCAAGCTACAATACACTGAACAAAAGAGTGAAGAAGAGTGCCAGGGAAGACAAAAGAAAATATTATGAAACCATGGCGAGTGAAGCAGAACAAGCTGCAGGCAAAGGAGACCTCGCCACACTCTACCAAACAACTAGGAACCTTTCGGGCAAACGTTCGACACAGATTAAGCCAATAAAGGACGACAATGGAAAGTCAATCACCAAAGAGGTGGAACAGAGAAAGCACTGGGCTGAACACTTCAAAAGACTTCTAAATCGTCCGCCACCTACAACACGCCCAGCAATACCAACAACGGAAGCAGAACTACCAGTGAACACTGATCCCCCGACGAAATCAGAAGTCCTGAATGCAATCAAGATGCTTAAAGCTGGGAAAACACCAGGACCAGATGGAATCCCAGCAGAAGCTTTGAAAATAGACCCAGAGACAACAGCGGACTTGATGACACCACTACTGGAGAAGGTGTGGAAAGAGGGCAAAGTACCCGAGGATTGGAAGAAAGAATACTTATTCAAACTTCCAAAGAAAGGAGACTTAAGTCAATGTAAAAACTGGCGCGGAATTATGTATCTGTCCATTCCAAGCAAGATACTAAGTCGCATCATCCTGGAGAGAATCAAACAAGCCCTAGATGAAAAACTTCGTCCGGAACAGGCCGGATTCAGGAGAAACAAATCATGTATTGATCAAATCGCCACTCTACGGATCATCATTGAACAAAGCTTGGAATGGCAGTCACCTCTCTATCTCAACTTCATCGACTTTGAAAAGGCCTTCGAGAGCGTCGATCGAGAGGTCATTTGGCAACTACTTCGCTACTACGGGGTCCCATCGACAATTATACATCTCATCCAACAGTTATACGACAATGCTGCATGCCAAGTAATCCACAACGGGAAACTTACGGAAGCCTTCGAAGTGAGGACGGGAGTGAGGCAAGGCTGTCTACTATCACCAATGATCTTCCTGATTGCAATTGATTGGATAATGCGACAGACAACGGCAACCAACGAGGGAACAGGCATAAAATGGACTGACACAAAAGACTTGGAGGATCTGGATTTCGCCGATGATATATGTCTGATTTCCCATAAACTGGAAGATATGCAAGTGAAAAGCGACAAGTTGGCAGAAGAAGCATCAAAGATAGGACTTCACGTGAACATAGATAAAACAGAGATGATGAAGATTCCTAGCCAACATCAACAGCAGCAACAACAACAGACAACAATCAGCATAAGTGGGAAGAACCTGAGAGAAACAACCTCCTTCACCTACCTGGGAAGCATCGTCTCAACTACAGGCGGAACTGACGAGGACATCAAAGCCAGAATTGGAAAAGCAAGACAAGCTTTCATTACTCTCAAATCTGTGTGGAGGTCAACAGCAATCAGCATCAAAAATAAGATCCGGATTTTCAACTGCAATGTGAAGTCAGTGCTACTATAAGGATCAGAGACTTGGCGAGTGATAAAGAGCATCTCAAACAAACTTCAAACCTTCATTAACAGCTGTCTCCGCTCAATACTCAAGATCAGATGGCCAGAAAAGATCAGCAACAGGGATCTCTGGGAGCGAACCAATCACGAACCGATTGTGCAACAAATAGGCAGGAAGAAATGGAGATGGATTGGCCTTACTCTGAGGAAACCATCAAGTGACATCACTAGACAAGCCCTCGAGTGGAACCCGAAAGGGAGGCGGCGAGTTGGTCGTCAATGCAAGGGTGACTTGGAGGAGGTCATGCGAGGAAGAGATGAAAGCATGTGGACAGACCTGGAGCGGGGTGAAAACGTTGTCAGAAAACAGAAGGCAATGGAGGTGCGCAGCTGAAGCCCTATGTTCCTCTAGGAACTAAAGGATACAATAATAATAATAATCAGGATTTCGATATCGCCATTTGAGAGGTTGTCCATTATTGTTTGTAGTTGTCTGTAGAACGCCTCCTTCTTCTCTTGTTCTGTGACGTTTGTAGGCGCATAACATTGAATGACTGTAACTTTCCTTCCTTTTGATTTGAACCTGGCTGTCATTATCCTGGAGGAGATTGGTTTCCACTGCATGAGAGCTTTGGCTGCTGTTGGTGACATCATGATGGCCACTCCATCGGTGTGCTCGTGGTTGTCCTCTAGGTGGCCGGAGTAGATTACTGTCTCTCCAGTTGGTAGTTGGCACCTTCCAGTTCCGTTCCATCTGCTTTCGCAGATTCCCAAAACTTCTGTTCTCTACCTTCTCATTTCAGCGGCTATCTGGGCAGCCTTTCCAGTTTCCTACATTGTACGAACATTCCAGGTACCCATCCTTACTTTTGCTTTCATCTAAAGAAGACACATCGGCTGACTGGCTTCCCAAAGTCTTTCACCAGCCTGCGTCATTTCACTTCCCCGATTCCAGTGAAAAACAAGGCTATTGCTTATGTTTTTAGAAATTTTAATATATTTATTCGTTGAAGTTTCTGTAGCGATTTGGTTGTTTTACAGGGGTGGAGTTGCTAGCACCACGCCCCAACCCTCCCTCTTTATCCGGGCTTGGGACCGGCTAGAAAACTAGGAAGCTAGTAGCCTAGCAAGCTAGTAATCTGGCGAGGTTATATATATATATATATATATATATATATATATAATGAGGCACATCTGTTGTGTGAAGGCTAGTGATACTGTAACAAGAGAAGACAAGAGACTTGGTGATGGAATGCTAATTTTTCAGTTTGATATACACATATAAAACATTTTGTATACCATAGATGAAAATCATCATTTTCACAGATCTCCTGCATCGTGCCTTTCGTAGTATGCTTCTTTGTCTTCTTATAGTGTCTCGCATGATTTGAAATGAGTGGTGCCACTTGATTTCGATTGGTTGGTTATCTTCATCACATCCGTCTTCTCCATTTTCATTTGAAGTTCTGCCTTTGCTGCATCTTCAGCCATTTTCCTGGTTTTCGGCAGAAGGTCTACTAATAAATCTTCCAGGAAATTCGGACCTTCTACAGCCTTCTTATCGGTTCGACGCATTCTCGTCTTCTCGCTCCCCTGAACAGTGTTCCTATAATCCAGTCCACTGCAGTGAAGAATATCATCGGTGATGGCAGGTAGCCGTTTCTTACGCTTGTCCTCACTTCAGACGCTCCGCTGAGTTTTCCACCGTTAATCATATGGTACGTGGTATTTTCATGTAGCTGCTGAATGAGGATGGTGAAGATTCAGGAGAGATTCCGTAGTTTTGAAATAGCTTATGAGTGATTTTGTGGTGAACATTGTGGAAGGCGGTTTCATAGTCGATAAAGCTGAGTTGGAGATTTGACTGCCATTCTATACTCTTTTTGATCATGATGCGTAGCGACGCCATTTGATTCGCACATGATTCACTTTTCTTGAGTTCACTTCGTTCTCCGTATTTGTAAAACTCCGGTTGGTAGGTTAAAGCGGAAGAAGACAAGGGACTTGGTAACAGCATGACATACACATATTAGGAGATTAGGTGTACCTTACATTAAAATCGTCATTTTCAGAGATCTTCGGTTTTGTGCTACTTCTTATCTTCGTGTTGTGTTTCTTTGTTATCTTCTCGTGTCCCACATGTTTGGCCTCATTACCGCTTCATTTCCTCTTTTTGACGTCAGTTCTATCTCTCTGCTATTTGATATTTTTGTCAGTTTTTGTCAATAAGCTTCTCTGCATATACTATTGATAAATATTATCAGTAACACATACCACAATACAAACTGGTTGCACAATCTTTTACCTCGTGACTCACAATGGTTCAAAGTCGGAGGCAATAATGCATGATCCATAGCTCCACTATTTTATATATACCATTGTAATCACAGATTAGATACTTTTAAACAAGGAGAAGTAGTAGTGAAGAAAAGCAACCACTTACCTCAGATGCAAGAACATTTACATTCACATACGTTTGACTACTTTGAGTTCCATAATAAAGAGTGAAACGAACTGAAACATACGAAGTAGCCATTGTATTCACATTCATTGGTATAAGAATGTTGATTGCTGACTTTTCAGCTTTCGATTTAGTCGGGTTTTCATTATCTGTAATACAAATATTTGTATATATATATAAAAGCTATTTTGGAGCAATATGTGATTTGTTGCCAATTCAGCTACATATTTCGGAATACCGACTGGTCAGGAAAGGGTTTCATTTTTGTTATAGTTAATCTGTTCACCGCTGATATTTTACAACACGCTGATGAATGAGCTGTGTTCAAAAGGCTGTTAGGTGACGGATAGGTACCATATTACAATTACCATATTACAAACGATGGGTGTAGAGTCTGAGTAGCAGATGGAACACCAATACTGACTTGGAATGCACGTACATCTAGCCGATAGGTACTAAGTAGGACGAAATGCGCATACCGAATTCAACTGCAGGTCGTTACCAATCAGAGGGGAACTATACTATTCTCAAAGGCTGGATGGGTCTCAGGTTGCTTTCGAAATCTGTCTTTTTCAAAAGCCGGTTAAAGTTTCTTTAAGTGAACCATTTTTTATAACTTTAAAATATTTTTAGATCTCTCTCTCAAAGATTTCCCCTGCTTTGTTAATTTATTGATAACTTCTACTACACTATTTTTGCAGTGTTTTTCTAAGTCTATTTCTTAACTTCATTAAAAGTGCAGGTTTTATTTCACCTTTGACCATGGATTAATGTCATTTAGAGAACCATTGCAAACGGAAGAGTACTTAACAGCTGCTTCATGCCGATTTCGGACTCATGGGGAGCACTTACCCACAGGTGTTGAAACCCAGAACCCTCCAGTTGCGAGTCAAGCTCGTTTGCTATTCAGCTCCTGGGACGTGATTCAGTGGTTAACGCATAAATTGATGCATAAGGCGCAAATGGCTCCAGGCAAAGTCATTGGCGTCATATCCAACCGTGTGGACTCCACTAGTCTCGACTCCGCACTAGAACACCAGTCAAATTTGTCCAGAAGCCGTCACTAGCAGGCATCAGAATAGTTCTCAAGAGCTAATTTGTAGGGATTCGATTTGTTAGGCGTTTGATCACGGATTGATATCAGTTAGAATTCCTGACACACTGAATTGCTCACCAGTGATTAAAGGGTAAATAGGTCCACCTCGTGACCATAAGGTCCTGAGTTCGAAACTCGGTGGGTGTATGCTGTTAAGCAGCAAAAAATCTGAACGAAATAGCTGTCCATTACGCCCTTGTTTTCAATGGTTATCTCACTTATATCAATCCATGATTAAGTTCCAAAAAATCAGATCCCTACAAACAAACTCCTTCAATGTTTGTCTCAGACCTCCTTTTATTTCCAAATCTGATTACTTCTTAGGGTATAACAGTCACTTAATCGATGATTACTTTAAAAATAAAATGCCTGCACCAGTCTTATCAAATAGAGGCGCAAACTTAATTCATAGTACAAATCTAATATCAAATAAATCCTTCTCTATATTCCCACATAAGTAAGAATAAGTTTAATGCATCTACAGTCCTAATATATTTAATAAGAAAAAATCTGAAACCCTACATGTATGATTTTTGATAAAATTGGCATTCGTATGGCATTTAAACTTACACGCTCACTCAGAGACATATCCTGTGGGCTAGACGATCCTATTGATCCAAAGAGACAAAATATTGTGATATACATTATACCTTGTATTTACTCTCAGGTCAACTATATGTGTCAGACTGGTAGACTGAGGGTAATCGGATTATTGGAGTAGAGGAATTCAGGTAAATGAAGAATGCTTGACCTCAAAAAGGTGAAGAGCTCTGAGAAAAACCCATAAACTGTAACGCATGCAATAACAAGCAATTACAAAATAGGATAGGACAGAGTTGCAGTTCTATAAGTATTATGGCTAGGCGGAAGGTTAATTTGAACAGTGATTACTTCTCCATTGAATGACGCGACGCTGATAACAGATATAAAATATAATACTGCCAATAAAATCGAAGGATGTGAAATAACTGAATTCAGACTACTGGATTCGCGGGCATTTTGGAATTATTTCATTTGCTAAAATTTTCGTCGCCAACCACCATTAGTTAGAGGGAACATTTGAAATCACTGGATAGCTGTTTCGTCCTATCTTGGGACTCAACAGAAGTGCATACCCATTACCTTGGTTCATGACAAATATCTTACAGCTGAAAATAGTGGAATTATACAAACAAAGTTTGAAAGTTATGTGAAGCTGACTACACGATTATAGGCAGCAATAAATTGTGCTAAAAACGGCGTCAGTATCTCTGTGAACGTTTATCAGGTAAATTTAGTCTACTGCAGTTCCAAAGTTGTGCTAAAATATTCTTTAGATTCATTCTGAGATACTTTGAAAATGTGGTTGTTTGTATATACATATAAAGTAAGCTAAAGCACCAATAGCTCTGAAAAAGGAATGGCTCTTACAACTTCAGTTCTCTGATGATAACACCGATGAAGTAACAGCACAACGTTTCGATGTTGGCATAGGGATAAAATTCATAGTCTCCGAAGTGTAATATTTCTGCTTAACCATCTCCATTTTAAGTTCGGGAGTGAAAGATGAACCACCTCATTTTGGTATATATGGCCAAGTTAAACAAACTTCCACTGGAGTGCAACCGCACCAGTGACTTTGAAACGCTCACTAAGCAAGTTGGTGGAATCTGGCAGATGATGTTGACATCATCGATAAAATATGCTAATTGAAGTGTTGCGTTATCAAATGGAATATCTGGCAAGTTATAGATTAGTTTCGGGAAAGATTAGGTTACTCCTTAAGCCAAGGATAAGTTAGAGTTAGGTTAACCTAATAAAGGCGACGGTAGGTTTGGTTCGAGTTAGATTACAGTTAGTTTAGGGATATTTTCACGTTGGGGTTACCTTTAGGAAGGATAAGGGTTATTGTTAGGGTTAGAAGACCTAAATAATTCCATGCATGGAATGTGGTTAAATTTAAGTCAATACAAAAACTGGCGCGGAATTATGCTCCTGTCCAACCCAAGCAAAATACTAAGCCGCATCATCCTGGAGAGAATCAAACAAGCCCTGAATGAAAAACATTGATCAGAACAGGTTGGATTCAGGAGAAACAAGTCATGTATTGATCAAATCGCCACACTACTGATCATCATTGCACAAAGCTTGGAATGGTAGTCATCTATGTACCTCAACTTCATCGAATTTGAAAAGGCCTTCGACAGCGTCGATCAAGAGTTGATTTGGCAACTACTTCGCTACTACGGGTTGGCGCGGACAATTATACATATCATCCATCAGTTGTATTATAATGCTGCATGCCAAGTAATCCAAAACAGGAAACCTATGGAATCCTTCAAAGTGAAGACAAGAGTAAGACAAGGCTGGCTGCCTGCTATCTCCAATGATTTTCCTGATTGCAGTAGGTCGGATAATGCGACAGACAGCGGGCAACGAGGAAACAGGGATAAAATGGACTCACACAAACACAAACTTGGAGGATCCGGATTTCGCTGGTGATATATGTCTGATTTCTCACTAAATGCATGATAAACAAGTGAAAAGCAACAAGTTGGCAGAAGAACCATCAAAGATGAGACTTCAATTCAGATGAACATAGATAAAACAGAGGTGATGAAGATTCCTGGCCAACACCAACAGCAGCAACAACATATAACGATCAGCTTAAATGGGTGGAACCTGAAAGAAACAACCTCCTCTACCTACATGGGAAGCAGAGTTTCAACTACAGGCGGAACTGACCAGGATATCAAAGCAACGATCGGGAAAGCAAGACAAGCTTTCATTACTCTTAAGTCTGTGTGGAGGTCGACAACACTCAGCATGAAAATAAGATCAGGATTCTCGACCTAATATGAAGTCAGTGCTACTCACTATACGAATCAGAGACTTGGCGCGTAACGAGCACTATGAACAGACTACAGACCGTCATCAATAACAGCTGTCTTCGCTAAATACTCAAGGTGGCCACAAAAGATCATCAGCAGGAATCTCTGGCAATGAGCGAACCAACTCAGCAGGAACCGATTGTGAAACAAATAGGCAGGAAGTAATGGAGATGGATTGGCCATACTCTGAGGAAACCATCAAGCGACGTCACTAGACAAGCCATCGCTCGAGTGGAACCCTAAAGGGAAGTGTCTGGTTGGTCGTCAAATTGTGACTTGGAGGAGGTCATGTGAAGAGGAGACGAAAGCATGTGGGCAGACGTGGAGCCAGGTGGAAACTTTAGCAGAGAACCGAACGCAATGGAGACGCGTGGGTGAAGCCGTATGTTCCTCTAGGAATTAAAGGAAATAATAATAAATATGTAGAAGCGGAAGAGAAATTTACGGAAAAGAATATTTTTTGCTCGAACTTTCTTTTATCTTATAAATGTCTGAATGGGGGATATTTGTTATTTAGATTTGTCAAAGCTTTTAACATAAGAAAACGCACCTGTTTTTCTCACAGATTTTTCTTAAAATACCGAATTACATAAAACGATGAACCACGCATTCTAAGATTATTCAGTGCTGCAGACAGTGACCATACTAGCATAAAAACAATGGATCTTACCCAATCAATTAATACAAAAGGCTGGCGACAACTCACTTTCAAAATACAGAGAACCCATGTTTATTTCTAGATTAGTAGCAGTAAAAGTTGTTTGAAATCCAGATGTGCAAACAGCACTACCAGTATCAAGGATTTTCGGTTGCATTATGGCTAAAATATCCAGAAGTTGAAAAAGGTAAATCTGAATTCTGTATGTTTGCCTTGCTCTGGAGTCTATAACTAGACTGACAGAGAGTAAGTTGAATCCACCACGGATAACACTTGTATTACTGCGTGAAGTTGCCAAACTTTCAAGTGTCCAATACGGAACTTGACTACTTGTCTAAAAGGATAAATAAAATGGTAAATACATCTTTAAGGACTTGTGATAAAGGTGACCAAGATGAAAATAACAAACCAGAAGTGGAGATGGGCTCTCTATTGAGATCCACGTTAGTAGGTTTCTTTATAAGTAAATTAGACAATGGTCTTTTGAACACCCTTATCAAAAAATTTTTATTTTAATGGCCAGTGTATGGATGTTACCTTCATCCTTTGTGGAGATGATTTGGACATGAATGTAGTAATACGTCAATTCAGTTAAGTACATTAAGCCTTCGAATTCACATGTGAAGAAAAATCCAGACTAAAGTAGACTTCTTAGACATCCTACTGGGACAGAAGACCAGAGGGTAGCATAAACAGAAATTTGCTTAAGAAAAGTACCTGGATCTGTTGATTTACACGTCTTCATGGATTTATTTCCCTCCCTTTAAAAGGAAATTTGTCAAAGGCCCTCAGCAATAGGATCAGAGATATTTGCTCAGCAGACGCGAATAAAGACAAACGTAAGTTTGTATACAGCACGTTAAATGAAAGCAGCTATCTGGAAAAGCTTATCACTAAACACATGACGAAGAAAGCAGAAAAAGATTCTTCTGCATCCATTAAGAAGAAGCCTTGGCATATATAACTACAGTTCAAAGAGTATATACCAAGTGAAATAATAGACAACAAGGTGAAAAAATCCATGGAAGGTATGTAATAAACATAGGAAATCTGCGGCTCAAAGTTTGCACACAACTGGATGTGATTTTGAAATCGAAAGTGACCAGGCTAGGAAACTTCAGTTGTATCTATCATTTCCTTTGTTTCTGTGTAGCCAGTTATCTTAGCCAATGCTCTAGGAGCTTAATTCTTCGTGCTTGGGAACAACTACCAGTGTGGCTAAATAAAGGCGTTGTTAAAACTATCAGTAGTTCGAGATTAGACCACCTCGCCTAAACAGGATACAAAAGTAACTATCACTGAGGAGACTTTTTCCACTATCTTTCGGGTATCGAATAAGTTATGAAATGCTCCTACATACCAAATACTTCAAACAGAAGCGAGAGGTTATTTCTGTTCATTTAAATCAACCAGAGCTTCACGCATGCGAATGAAACAGGTCCGGCCACTATTGTTACCCTATATTGTTGTCGAACTTATATAAATTCATAAATTCTGTATTATTTCTCTAATTTATCTGATGTTCAGTTTAATGTTACAAAAATGCATATTATCCCTCTGTTACTCAAGCTTCTGAGATGTAATCTATCGATACTATTTATTCGCTACAAGTAAAAGCATTAATGATGTTAGTGGCTATAATCCTTTAACTATTACTGATATGTAACTGGAAAACCTAATGATAAATGCATCGAAAAGGATATTATATGATCCCTAATCAGTATTTGTAATGTGACTAAGATAAACGAAAAACCTGGAATTCACTGTTATGAATTCAGAAAGAACTAATTTTAATTTAGATAACGAGTCGATTTCAATAAGATAACCACTGGACACCATCAAGGAGTACTGGATAGCCGTTTCACTCTTGTTTGAGACTCACCATCAGTGTGCATCCATCACCCCAACCTCAGGGATCAAACTCAAGACCTTCATGTTACAGGGTGAAATTGTATACCATTAAGCCACCGGTACACATTCCTATGGCTTGCAAATTCTTACTACTGCAGGTGACTACGACGCTCAACTTCGTAGACCTCAGTTAATAAGACTTGTCCTTTTGGGTTTCAAGCAAGTTCATCCTGTAATCAGTCAATAACAAGCGCTGGGTTGAAATCAGTCAAACCTCTTCAAAGTAACACTTAAGAAGGGACTTCGCTATGGATGTCTTTGTCATCTGTGTTCTACAAATAACTGAACTTGTAAGTACACGAATGCATCAATTACCGGGAGAATTCTGGGGATTTTAGTTAATATCATTTCATATTATTCTCAGTTTAATTAATCCAATCAGAATTTAGAAAGTGTTTTACAAATAACAAACTTGATTGATAATGTTTCGTTTCTGTTCAGTAAGGTAATTAGTTGTATGTCATTCTTAAATTGTTCGTGTAAAGCAAGTGAACACGTCCGTTTTACAAACTGATCGTCTTTGCTGGTACGACTGACGCCAAATAAATTCATGACGTTGGTCTGCCAGGTAGTCATGCGGATGATTCCCCACAGGTCCTATTTCCAGTTCCTAAATGGCAGTGGAGTCAGCAAAGCAACAATACGGATGTGAACAGAATAATATAATGCAGTCATAATTCTTTGGATTGTTGAGGACTATTGACTATCTGAAACACTTTTGATACTCAAATACTCTTATAATAACGTTATGGATCGCATTCCTGATTCCTAGCGAATTTATTTCCCTATTCCTTATGCTATTCAACTTAATTCCTCATTTATTAGAACTACTTTAATTCAGAAATCTTCATCAGGAGAACTTATGACTTTGACTGAATTATGAGAGAACAAGCAGAATAGTACGACCTCGCATGATTCTGTAGATTTTCTTCAATCGCGTACATCCTGAACAAAATTAATTGTAAGTTACGAGACTTCTGAACGTACTTTTTACAATGACCTAAGTTATAGATAGAAAGTGTAGTCAATATAAGTCCAAAAGTGATGTAAGTTGACGAATTATTCAGTGTTATAATACAAAGTAATTATAGCATAATTAAACACGAAGAGGTAGACTTCGGATTTCTCTATGAAACAGGGGCGGACTAGAGAGAAATTACAGGGTAGAACAACGGAGTGAATTTTTACTTATTATGATAGAGAATTCAGGAGGGTGTGGCTGAAAAGTAAAATGAAATTAAAAAATAGATGGGACTATTAAGTGGATTTGGAAACTCAGTAGTGAGTTCAACTCAGTAAGTGATAATCAAAATGGAATTTAATTGGGGCGGGTATCATGCAACAGAAAAAAAGCCCATAGGACACGAACAGAAAAATTGCGGTCACCCGCATAGTGAGAGATTTGTCTTTCTGTCTTTCTGTTTACAGAGGTTGGAGTAGCAGTGGCTTTTCTGAATCAAAGCAACCATAGTCTCCTTTGTGTATTGATTATTGTGAAAGCCTGACTACCTGATACGAGATATAGAGTGGAAATCAGTCAGGCTATCAAAATAATCAGTGCACAAAGAAGACTATGTTCACTTCAGTTCACAGAAGCCATTTATTAACAAACAATTTTTAATTGCCTAAAACAGGTTTTAGCCTACGTTTAATGTCCAGGGTCAAATTCACTAGTACATCACAGATGCAATAATGGAACTGCCCCTAACTGACTTCGGTGACTCAGGAATCAACTTATCAGCAGAGAAGATTCTTATCAACTTTAAGTGTGCGTACGATGATGCTGTCCTCCTAGTTGAAGACATTGATATAAGGTAGTCTCTTGAATGCCTTGTTTTACAAATAGGTTAAATGGCGATGTTAAAATCAACTTTCAATCACTGGGCTAAGTGATTTTCTATGCATCAAAATGTATGTTTTTTACTATTATGCAATTACATCAATGAGTGTTAATTTGTACTCACACCAATTTTCAAATAAAATTCAGAAGTATAGCAGGTTATCATTAAGTTTTCATGTGGGATTTATAGATAATGCATTCGTGATTTTCAAAGACGTGGAACATGCGTCCAAATTATTTGAAATCATCAGTAATATACATGAGAACATCAGCTTCACAATGGTGTATGAACAAGAGGGTTAGTTTCGCTTCATAGATTTATTGATGTAAAGACAAGGTAATTGTACAGTCGAGAGAGCAATATACCCTGGGCATAGAAGAACTAGACAGTATTTAAAGTATGCTATTCTCTATCCACTAAAATGCAAAAAGCTATTGGTGAAGCTCTGAAGATAGACTGCATGAGGAGATGCCAACGAGTTCCGAAAACACCCTTACTAGAACCGTCGGTTTGCATCTAAACGAAATAGGACACAAAGAGTATATACCGACTGCATTTACCATTATCGACAGAGAAAGAAACTTGTCTTCCTAATTCTAGAATATTTGTTTATTTATTCCTATACTTCCGTTTTCTCCGATAATGCAGAGAACTAGGAAGTCATCTTGGATTTCTTCAACAGCTTCCACCTTGCAATCCAATTTACTTTAAAAAAGTTTGACTCAAATACAGCCTACCAGGAAGTTCAAATAGCAATATTTGAACGAGATAGAACTCCAAGAAGATACATCTTCAGAAAGCTTACTAGGAGTGCAAAACTAGCTAGTTTCCACAGTTTCGAAAGCTTGATTCGTCCATTGAACCACAAAATCTGCACTAGTGGCAGCCATAACATCACGGAAGAGAAGCTAAACATTCTGAAGAGAATTGTTCTCGAATATGGCTACTCTGAACATTTAATCACAATCCTTGAAGCCCAAACCACTAAAACTACCCACACTTTCTGCTGCCCATAGACATCTTAAATTCAATGAAGATTCACCGGCAGAAATACTGAGAAACTGCTTGTCCTACTTACTGAAGAAAATCTTCCTCGCAGCTGAACTTCTGCTAACGTTCTCCAAAGACCAGTGATTTATGTAAACCTGAAGGATAAGCCACCACTACTGGTTTCACCGTTGTGTACCTATCAATTCACCTGCCGGAGTGCAGCTAAGTATGTTGACCATACTTGCCCTTATGGATTTATTAAGGAGAAAAACTTTCCCTGCAGCTATATCCTAGAACACCTGGTAGAATCTGGATACTCATTTAATCCACAAATCAACTTCATAGTCATCTACAGAATACGTGAGAATCCCACCAAAGAAGCATGAATGAAACTTCTTTAAACTGCGAAGGCAATGGCAATTCACATGGTAAATCTCGAATGGTGCATACAGAAGTTTGTTCGGCCATTAAATTTGCAATGGACCTGGTTCGTCTTACCACTAGATATATAATTTTTATTTTTTTTAAATTTTAATTGTATTATTTTCTTTCCTCAACCCCTGTTAAGCCTCTAGCCATTATTACCATTTCTGTTAACTTAACTGCTGTTCAATTTTAGTTTAATCCTACTGATTCCCATCAGTTATATTAGGGTACACAATTTACTCACTTAATTTCATTTTAGTTTCCACCTTACTAACGCTTCTATGTTGTGTAGTTTGTCGTCTAGAATTTACGATCCTGATGAAACATCCCAGAAAATATTCCTTGCGTTGCTAAGACAATTTACTATACATATATCTGTATACGATTGAAAAGCTTGAGAGTGGTATCATTGAAAAGGGTAAGTAGTCTCTGCTCTTCTTCTAATATATACCACCAACCTTGATAGCAACTGTTTCTCCTCTCCATCCTACTACTCATTTACAGGACATTAAGGGCCTTCGGTTATAGGTAGTTGAAAGCAATCACTGAAGCAAAGGATATCGCATTATCCTCTTTAAGGTATTGTTCCTCAGACAAATTCAGAATTTGCAGTTTAGACTTGTACATTTATATAACAAAAGGATGTATTGAATGACTATCAGGTGACTGGAGATGAAACGAATAAGTCGTGACGTAAAATTATTGATGCATACACAATTGAAATGGGCTTCTGTGACATAGAACACATGATTAATGATTAGGGGTACATCGTTGGAATCTATATGAATATTCAAGGAAGCAAGATTGATCATTTATTAAGGATATTCAGTATTTTTCGTTGATTACTTTTGAATGCCCTGAAATACTTAGTGTCTGCGAATACAGATACATCCATCTGATGACGAGTCATGTGTGGGAAGAAATGCACATACTGGATTCACTGCTAACTACTATCATTAATCAGATTTAAAAAATGAGATTAAAGTTGAAAAGTTGTTTTTTTCCAGATTTTTTCTAATAGTGACGTCTGACGTCTGAACAACGCTTCGTCTAAAAAATGAAAACTGTCTTTGGAGATAGCGCCCCATCTATCATTGCTAATATTATTCCCTTGAGTTCCGAGTGGGCTTCATTAATACATTACAATCCATTTTGGTTGGCACCACGATTCCCCGTAGGCTGTCGCATTCTCTTCAAAAGATCTTCCCCATATCACTCTTGGACGCCCAACTCAATGTTCCCCATTTAGGTTCCACTCGAGGTTCTGCATTGCGCGCTATGTTACCCAGTGGTCACATCAGTGTGTGTCACATCCATCTATATTTTCTGCAGAACACTTTTTAGCAGTAGATTCTTGGTTGATTCGTCCACAGAGTTCCCTGTCGCTATTTTTGCCGGTCTGCCATCTGATCTTCAACACAGGGAATGGTTTTCGTGACGCACTGAGTTTCTGATCCACTTCAAATCTTCAATAATGCCAACCCAAACATCGACTTTACGCTTGAGACTGAATCCGACGGAATGTTCCACTTCCTCGACGTCCATCTGACAAGAAACGCCGACAATTCTCTGAAAGGTTCCATATACAAAAAGCCTACATGGAATGGACAATTCATCAACTTTCAAAGCTTCGTGCCCCTAAGCAGAAAGAGGAACCTGATATACGCTCTTTCCTCGAGGGTTCGGAAGATATGCAGCGAGGAAGTGGTTGAAGAAGAACTGCGTAATCTTCGAAAAACCTGATGAAAAACGGTTTCCCGCCAAGGTTCATAGACAGGAATCTCAAATCTCAAATTATTTCGGAACAAGTCCAATCCGTTCCAAAGAAAATACTTCTGCTTAATCTAGAATTCAAAGGTGATATTGAAGCAGAAATCCTTCGCAAACGCCTCTCCAAATCGCTAAGGAAAACATACTTCGCCGCGAGCCTACGATTGACGTTTTCCTGCAAGAAACTGTTCAGTCAGAACGCGAAATACAAGCTGTCGCATTGGGCCACCTCAGCGTGCTGGAGCTGAGTACGTTGGCCGTACCATGCACCGACTTGAAAAACGCGCTCGTGAACACTGCCCAGCCTGGTTAGTAAAAGGAGACCAAAAGGTGTATACAGTTCAGTGACAGAACATTTGGTCAATCAGGACATTCAGCACCTTTCGAAAAATCCTTCAAAGTAATATGCAAGATTCAATCAAAGCTATCAAAGGGAGTCAAATCAAGACATCTGGGCATAGCCGAAGCGCTAGCCATACAAAAGCTCAAACCCACGCTTTGTATACAAAAGATAAACGTCCAACCCCTGTCCCTGCCATGGCCGTTATAGACAGGTAATTTTTTATTAATGACCATCCCATCGCCTTTCTTATCTAAACTTCTTGTTTATTCATGTTATTTTAAGTTTTTCTTAATCCCTCTGTACACTATCATATTTTCATACCCGAACTTAGTGTTTATTTTGTCATTTTACTATTTCTACATATTTAATCCCTGATTGCATAAACAATTATTCATCACATTAGTATTATCCAAACATCCTGTCTATTTTGTTATTTCCACATTTCTAACCCCTAATTGCACAATGTCGATCTTCTTGGTTATTATGATGCTACTTTGTTTGTTTTATCCATCTCCCTGTTTATTATGGAATTCTAATTCCTAATTTTAATTTTTATTAATTTGACTCTTGACCGGAAATTATTCTAGGAACTTTCCCACCCATTTGTTATAAAAATACACAAATGTACAGCCTAGTTGAGGATGACTTCGTCGAAAAGAAAATTTTCTTCGCTGCAATTGTCTTCTAAACAAATCATATTTAGATTACAAACAATTTACTTACATTCTGTGATGAATGTGTCATAGGGCTGGTGAGGGATAAATGATCATGATTAGAACAACTTTGAGTCTAGAGTCTGATGTTTTTACCTGTCATCACTTAGAAAGAAAATTATTTCAACGAGTCTAAGATACAACGAACTTAATTTTTTAAACAGACCGTCAGCAATGGTAGTTGTTTTCTTCAGTGGCTGAGTAAATAAATATTTTATCGAGAAAGATTTTACGGTGAAGAAAATAAACTTCTACTAACTCGTGTGATATACTAAGTAAGTTATACACCAATCTTTCAATAAAAAATTTAAGAAAATGCGGGAATGCCACAGTCAGGTCCTACGAATTTTGCATTCACTAAGGAGAAAGCGGTAATACTTGACCACCGTGCATTTAATAAAATGAAAATGAAACTGGTTCTCACTAACGAAAAGTTTGAAGAAGAAGAATCTGTCTTAAGTCTTTTGGAAATTTATGACCAGCTGAGTCCCAAAAAGGATGAATCGATTGCCCAGGATTCCATGCTGGTGTTCAATAGTTCTCCGACTGAAGTCAGCCAGTCATCAGAGCTGCAAAAAGATTTATTCTCCCCGCTGTAAGATAAACTTAGAATGATCTATGTTTTTAATGTTTGTTTCTCTTTATTTCATAGAGCATTAGGCATATTCCTCAATGGGTCTTCTAGATAAGAAATAAGCTGTATATAATTTTCAGAAGTAATCGTTATTGAAATCTTTTTTAAGGTTAATTTACAAGCACAAGCTGATTTTATAATTTCCGAAAAATTTTCATTGCGATGAATAAACTGTTTTATCTAGTAAATTGAATTATTAGAGGTACTGGGTAGAAAACATCTTCAATCTGTTCTCAGACTTTAAATGGGTGAGTTGCTTAACTCGGCTGAGTGGAGTTTCCCACTGAATGTGATTGCCAAGTGGGCCATACTCACCCTACTAGTAAGTAGGGTAGTCAGTAAAGTATAATCTAGTCGTCGCTATAGTAATCATGTTCATTACAAGAGGAAGTACACGTTGAATCAGTTGATATATGTGTCTGTTTGAAACCATCTGAGGGATTAAGACTGAATGCCTCTAGGTATGAGGCCCATCCTTATTTACAACGATATATTCCATATCCGACACATGGCTGGGTCAGCCTACTTATTCCTTTCGATGTCTGGACTAGGTCGCGTGTTCGCCCAATTCCATTAGGTTTGATGTTACACAAGGGTGATTATCATAAATTATGCTCCGTATCTCATGGTGTAGGGGCTGACAAGACGCCTAATTGTGATACGAGTGTAGGGATTTAAATCGTTTGTTGATAACTTATTGTTTTGTCAGGGAGAAGTAAGTGCTCAAGCAGCTATCACACTGCAAGTCATTGCGTCCTTTCCTTACTTGATGGAAACTGTAAAATCAAACTGAAGACTTACCAGTTGTGGAGGGGCTGAAGCTGCAATTGGTGAAAAAGTAACCTGACCACTGACTAAATAAACTCCAATAGATACATCTAATTTAGCTGAAAATTTTGCTGTTCCAACGATCCTGATTGCATACCAGAGAGTTAGTTTGGCGTCATAATTATTCGATGTAGAATCAACATAAATTGAAGGGAATTCGATCACTGCAATATTGCTTTAAAGTTGTAGAAACAAATAGGAAAAAGGCATGTTTATTAACATGAATTTAAGTTTGCTCATGCTTTTCATTCATAGAGATATGACTTAACACATCAGATGCCAAGTAGTAGTTTTTAATTTTGAAGAATAAATTTAAGAATTGCATCTGATTCAAGCTTGATCATTGGTCAACACCAGTTAAAAAACCATTAGAAAATCTAGGAGTACTGAATGACTATTTAGTGGCTTGCATCCACCGGATTTAGGACTCAGGACCTTTCGATTACTAGGTAAGGTCGTAGACCATTCAGCTACTGGGACCCGATTCAATGACCCATGAATTAAAACTTCTAAAGATTTATTTTAATTCATTTCAGTCAGATAATGAAACGATAGTAATAAATAAAGGCAAATGCATGTGTAAATCGTATTGATAGAAATTGGCACTACACTGTTAGAATTTCGACTGCTGTCAATTTTAAAAAGAAATTACTTTTGCTTGTCATACTTCACTGAGCAGAAAAAAGGTATACAAAACGTGTTATGAGGAATTAAATGTTCCTAAATAAGTTCAATGGTGGAGTGCTCGTCAGTCATCAAGTGGTCAGAAGTTCTATTCCTAGTCAAGACACTTGAAACCTCAGCTAAATGCCAGTAAAGTTAGTAAAGAGGAAAGGTTGCGAGTAAAGCCAGCAACTCTACTCCGTGAGAAAAAAAATGAAATATAAATTACAAAAGATACGTTCAATACAGGCATGACAGAAAAGTCGGAGTTACTACATGCTTTCACTGAGGAAACCTGTGCGGAAGAACATCGGGACTCACTGAAGGTGATGTTCAAAGAAACATGTATGACCGTTTTACGAATAAAGACACAAATTCTCCAGCAAAAGCAGAAATCTTGAATGTAATCAGGCTACTGAATACCATCTGCGAAGGCGGGAGGAGCAAATGGAATTCCCCAAAAGCACTGAAAACGGACCTACTGACTACATCAGACAAGCTGACTCCATTGATGCAAAAGGTTTGGAAGGAAGGGAAAGTGACTACTGATTGAAAAAAGGCTACCTTGTCAAGCTACCAAGGAATGGTGACTTAGGCCTACACAAGAACTTACACAGAATAATGTCCTTGTTCACGCCAAGTGAAATAATTTGTGGCATCACCACGCAAAGAATAAAGGATTCACTGGTTGCAAGACTCTGCCAGCCTGTTACAAAATGGATTCAGAGAAGGCAAATCATGTGCTTATCAAAATGCGACTCTATGCAACGTAATCGAACAAAGAAAAGAATAGCAGGATATCATCATGAGCTGGGATCAGTTAGAGAACCATTGGAAAACCTGGAGTAATGGACAGGTGTTTCGTCCTAGTTTGGGACCCTTCATCAGCACGCTCTCACAATGATTCGAACCCCAGGACCTTCTGGTTACAAGGCTAGCAGGCTCGTATACCATTAAGCCACCGGGACCCGATCAAATGGTTCATGAATTCCAACTTCTGCCAATTCACGACATAGCGCGATCCTTAGCCAATGTCATTGGCGAGTATTTGTCCTCATACCCGACTTGCTGCACCCTACTGGTCACGACTTCCCACTAAAACCCAGATAACTACCTACCTGAATAGGGCATTCGCTAGTGAGCATCTCATTGATATTCAAGTGTTGGTTTGTAGGGGATTGATTGTAGAGATCTCAGTGATGGTCTCCTTGGATATGTTCTCTCTCTTCACCAAAGTTCCATTGATGGAGACCATATGTTTCCTTCGTAACTACAATCAATCCACTTGCACCGATGTTGATATACCGATCCATTACCTAAAGGAACTGTTACTACGATGCACCTTCAACGTATACTTTAGTTGCAACAGCGAAATATACAGGCAAGTGGAAGGAGTAGCAATGGGTTCTCCCCTAGGTCCGCTCCTGGCCGACTGCCTAATGGATAACCTAGAAAACAACTCCTTATCATCAACCATCGACAACCTCCATCTCTACAAGAGATTCGTCGATGGTACTTTCATTATTTACTATGAGAATTGTGATCTGAAAAAACCTACTTCAAAACCCAAACATCGATTTCACCCTGGAAGTTTAAGTCCAACTCAATGTTTCATTACCTCGACGTTCAACTTTGAAGGAATGCAGACAACTCGCTAAGAAGATCCATCCACGAAAAGCCCACATGGAACGGACAATTTATTAACTTTCAAAGCTGTGTGCCTCTAAGCAGAAAGAGAAACCTAATATACTCTCTTTCCTCGAGGATCCGAAAGATTTGCACGGAACAGTCAGTCGACGAAGAATTACAAAATCTCCGAGCAACCTTGATTGGAAATAGATTCCCACTCAGATTAATAGACAAGAATCTGAAGCCAATGAAAACACCTGAAAAGGTCCAAGTCGACCCCATAAAGGTTGCTGATATTGAACCTCGAATTTGAAAGTGATACAAAGGCAGAAATTCTCCGTAGACGACTTTCGAAGTGTCTCAGGGAAACATAGTTCGCTGCCAGCCTACGAATAACATTCTCCTGCAAGAAACAACTCACTCAACATGTGAAAGACAATCTATCATATTGGACCACTCCAACATGCATCCAAAGGAAATACGTTCAACTTTTGTCCCTACCGTGACCAACATTAAAAGTCAATCTCACTAATAATGATAATATCTTGTTACCTTTCCGTACAACCTTCCCGTTTATTTGTTATATTTTTACTTTTTAAATTCCTATCTCCGTTATTATATTTGGTTACTGTTTTTATTTTTATTTCCCTGTGTCTGAACCCCCTACCGACTTTGTTAATACTACATCCTTAACCTGTAATTATACAAACTGATGATTTTTCCAGTAAATAAATTGTCTTTTCTACCTGATCTTCCTGACTACTACACATTTCAGTTTTTAATTTGACCTTTGACCTGAAATATTTCCAGAATTGTACCACTGTTTATAACACTCAGTAATTTTATTAATCTGACCTCTGACCGAAAATATATCTGGAACTTTCTCACACATTTAATATTAATACACAAATGTACAGCCTAGGTGATGACTTCGTCGAAAAGAAAATTTGTTTCGCTGAAGCCGTCTTTTAAAAATGCACAGGAATTTAACAAAATTGATAAGATGCATAGGAACTTTAATTAACATTTCATAATGAAGAAGCATTTCAGGAATTAAAGAATACTCACTTTACAATTGACATGTTTGCGTTGATAGGAACTAAAGTAACCAGTGACCTTCCGATAGAAATAAATTTTTGTTCTAGTACAGTCGAACTAGAGCCCGTAATTGAAAATGAAAACTTTATTGGACTATAGATAACTTGTTCCGACCAACTGATCTCAGCATTCACTATTGCTTGATATGTATCCATTGGTTCTGTTTGCGGTGGCTCTGATTTGTAAATATTTATCTGGGGGGAATCAACTGCCTAAATAACAAAAAAGGAATGCAAATATGAATGTTCCATCATTTTCGTCTCCTAACAAATTGTAAAATTATCAAGTGAACAGTAGAATAAGTAATGAAATAGTCATTCCGAAAGTAGCCATTGTAACTGTATTCCTAAATCATTCACTATAACCTAACAAATAAACAATTAGATCAAAAGTAACTAGGGAACTGAAGCAACGACGTTTGAGTAGGATTGAAGCCGTGTGAAGTAGATGCACTGGATGTTGTCCACAAGTTTCCACCCTAAAGACAGCTGAAAGCAGTGAACTATGTATGTTTTTGGCCTGCTTATTTTTTAGTTGCACCAATCTCTAGGCATATCCAAGTCTTTTAGAATAAGCTAACACTGTTTGTCCGTTGATCCCTACTTCATTGCTGAATTTCTCTCTTTCTCCTGAGAGAGTCAGCTTCAATGATGTCCTTCCGTTGTTGTGATTCTATGGTTATCGCTTTAGTGCGTCCTTTTATCCTAGTGAATGAATAATTGGTTTAGTAGTTGCTGCTAGCCATTCAACTAAATTTTTGGTCGTTGCGGTGTGCTATTCATTAATGTACTGAATATTTTCACTGACTGCTTGGTGATCGTTGGTAGTCTGTTGTGTCAGAGCCAGCGATTTTCCGTGAAGCGGCACGAAATCTGAAGGGTATTTTTATGATCATTTTGACTGCATAATCACTTAGAGTACAAAAAAGGTTTCAGTGAGACGAGGTCTTTTTGCCACTTTGCCCTGTATAGTCATTGTCATCTGAATGTAGC